CTGGGGATTCGAACCCGCCACCTTAGGTGTACGTGGCTGGCGCCTTAGCCGGTTGAGCTATAGGCGCCGAGCCCAGTGTGGATGTCTTTACTGCAAAATGGTAACTTCTAGGCTCTTGTAATCCCCAAAGTATCTTGTCTAGGACTAAAGATAACTAGCATTCAACAACTGCTTGATGCTTTGAATTTGAATGATCTAAAACAGACACTAAACAAAGTGGCTTTTCCATTTTTCAAGAACAGTTCAGTAAAAGACATGCTGTATGGAAGATGAGCCTTGAAAAAAAAAGCCTAAAAGGCCAAAAGAAAGAAGCTAACTAGCCATTAAGAACTTTGAGTATTAAAAAAGAAGGTGGAGGGAGCCAAGGTAAGCCTCAAGAAACAAGGAGTCTGGCAGGAGCAAATGAGAAAAATAAAGCAGGGGGAGTGGGAGGGAGTGAAAAAACATTTAAGGTTTGAAATGGAAGAGGAATTCTAGAGTTAAGGTGGGTTCTGATCCAATGGAAAAGTATTGGATCAGAAGCCTTACCAAGTTTCTCTGGCTAAGGAGCCTGGGTGGCCATGTGTGGGTGGCCTGCACTTAAGAACACAAAAAACTGGACACAGATACAAGTGGAGAGAAGTGTCATGCAGTAGGGAGTGGCAAGAGTCAATCCCAAATGCAGTCATTTGGGTACAATGTGCCCTTCAGAGAGGGCATGGTGACAGCATGGACTAATTTACAGAGCTGCCAGGGCAATAACTCAGAAAGCAATACTGCCTGCTCACAACAAAACAAGGCAGCCCCAGAATGTTTCATGGTGGTAAAAGCTGCATTACAGCATACTGAGATCCCGGAACCAATGAAAAGAGACAAGTTTACCAAAACGAGTCTTGACACTGAGTACGTTTCTGGCAAATACATTATTAGGCACTCATTCTACTACTCATGTCCTGAAGAAACTATTTAGTTTCCTTATATGGCCCTTCTCTTCAGCTCTCCCTGTATAATAACTAATGTCTTCTTAAAGAAACAAAGATAGAAAAGGAATAGAACTGTTCCACTCATCCCCCTCCCTCCCACCAGTTTTTTTTTTCAGTGAGGTGAGTGGAGGCTCACATTATTGAGAATGTCAGAGAAGATCTACCAACTTTTGAAATCACTTTATTAAAAACTGATTCTTTTTTTTTTTTTTT